TTAATTGAGAAAGAGAAACTGGTGGATTCCTCTACCTCCTTGTGAGTTCATTCCCCATGAGGTGAGTTCCACAGTTTCATATGAAAGAGATGTGATGGCCTTGTCTACACTGAAGCCTGTAAGGAAATATCCCACCATCGCAGGATTAGATGACCTGAGGACTAAAACATTAGCAGTCAATTTAAGCAGTGTCCCTATTTCTACAATGGTGGGAGATTTCCCTAAAAATCTCATCAATTTAGACAAGGCTGTAGATGATGGAGAGTTGTCTGTACTGACATAAAGTTATATCTCAAGCCTTTGACATGTGAAATATTTACTTTTAAGATTTCTGTAGAACTTTGAATTATAAAATACCTGGGATGTTTGTATAATCTGATAATATGTATAGAACAGACATGGTATACAGATTTCCATATCCTCTTCTAGATTTAGTTTCAACAAAAGCTAAAGAAAGGGATTCCAATGTCTTCTGAATCTCACTGAAAACAGGCTCCAGAGCAGTTGTAATGGGAAAAAAATTACTTGAATTCCAACAGATCCCGTTTATTCAGTTAAAGTAGTGATTTGAGATGTCTGATCCTTTTTTTCTACTTACAAACTGTAGGCCTATCATCTCTCACACTCTTTAATAATACAAGCCCAGTAATTCTGCATCAGTCCTTCATAATCATTGTTACAGTCTTCTGTTCATACTAGAAAGATTAAAGGGAAAACCACCCAAGAAAATAGAGAGAAACTATCACCTATGTAATATGTATGGTTAATTGTTACAGAATTGTTATCAGAAAAGAACAGTGCTTTAATTTGCACATGCAGTGTGGTAACAAAAATACTCTAATTGATTTATATCTTTGAATAAATTCAGCTTACGTTTTTTTATTCAAACTTATGTTCTGAGTCTGCAGAACGTCTAGCTAAGAAATGAGTTATTACTCATTTCTTCTCTTACATATCCATAAGCTATTCAGCTGAATGGTTGACTCATAAATTGTTACTGTTCATTAAAGCTAGCCAGAATTTTGTTAAGGGTTTTCTATTTCAATTAAATATAGAAAGAAATGCTGGCGAATTTTTGTCTAGGATTTTTTTTGTTTTAACCAGTTTGCAACCAGTTGCACCCACATATATGTGAATGCAAACCAGCTAAATGTGAATGCAATTTACAGGTTTGCTTTGTTTGATTTGCAGTTTGGATGATCTAATACTAGCAAAAAATGAAGCTCAGTAGGCTCCAAGTTTCAGAAAGTTACAAGCAACTGAAAATAAGCTCGCAAGGTAAAATCCTGGTCCCACTGAAGTTAATGGCAAAACTCTTTTTTACTTCAGTGGAGCCAGAATTTCACACACAGAGTCAAAACATTTTGCCAACCTCTACTTTAGCTGTTACTATGCATGTCAAAGAAATGCAAAGAGGATTTCACTAGCTAGCCATTTGCATGAGAGACAAATTTCTGTTGTCCATTATGCAACAGCGAAAATCCAGAGTAAATCTATAAATGGCTCCCATGTAGTTCCTCTAGGCTTGCTCTGGTATACATAAGAACTGAACTTTGCCCAAGAAATTACATTTGACTTTGTTTTGCAATAAATTCCATCCTGATGTAGAGTCCAATTCTTCACTCAAGCTAAATTCCCTTGTGAGTGAGCAATGACAAGATTTCTGAGATAATCTGCTGTTCAATACTTAAGCAACATTATCTTCACCTCTGAGGTTTCAAAAGCCTCAAGGGTTATTTTCAGAGCCTCATATGTTAAATGAATACTAAACCAAAAGTACTGCCTGCCATGAAACTTGATTGGACTTGGACAAAGAATGGAGCTTTTTGGAGTCATCTGGGCTGTAGATCACTTTTTCACCGTGTAATCATGACTATGAGGACATAAATCATGAGAATTACAATAAGGAGACTGATGAATGTGCACCAGAAGAACCCACACTTTAATCCACTTTTAGATCATCGCTGCAGAAAGTCAATTCCTTAGTTGTGTTTCCCCCTTCCAGACCTACAGGAGTGTGCTCTCTGATAAGAGGCTAAAGTGTCCCGTTTTTCTTTGTTTTGTATCCAAAAATGCTTTTTTTCCTTTTAACTGTAAAATAATGTCTTCTAATTGTCTTTGATTTAACATCTTCGGGTGTGTCTAGACTACTGAGTTTTGTCGACAAAAGTGGACTTTTGTCGACAAAACTATACCAGCGTCTACACTACTGCTGAGTTCTGTCGACATAATGTCGACAGAACTCAGCAGTTTTGTCGACGCTGGTATACCTAATTTTACGAGGCATAACACCTTCTGTCGACAGAGTCCTGTCGACAGAAGGTGTTATTGCCTGTAGGGTTGTGTCTAGACTACAGGGTTCTGTCAACAAAGCAGCTTGCTTTGTCGACAGAACTCAATGTGTCTGGACGCTCTTTGTCGACAGAAGTTTTGTCGACAGATACTGTCGACAAAACTTCTGTCGACAAAACCCGGTAGTCTAGACGTACCCTTCCTATCATCAGTTTTCTATTCACTTAAGATCATGTTCTTAATAATTGGATGTGAAGCAAGTTCTGGAGTGTAAGTGTAAAGTCTAGAAGGGCCTGGGAATTCAGTTCTCTCAATATTTATATTTAGCATTAAACAGTTCATGCAAAAATAATGACTTTGGCTCCAGAGGTCTCAGAAACTGTTCTCATATATGCTGCAGGAGGGAGCTTTATCTAAATACAAAAAGGGATTAAGGTGTAGGTGCAGTCAAGTCTGTTTTAGATCAAGTACATGGAGCTGAGATTGATTTGATCTCTTTGCCTGCTTACTGAATAGTCTTTTAAAAAGAGTAGTCCTGTGGCACCCAAGTTTTCCTCCTCTCAGCGGTCATTAGATGATAAGAGCTGACTTTTTTCTAAAAAAACAACCCTACGCCAGGGACTCCTTAATTTTTCTCCCCCCAAAACCGCTTATCTTGAATCAAAATTACAAGCCTTCTTCACCTTGTTAAAGAAACATCATCATATTTTCTAATAATTTTGCTGTACATAACTGTTGGTCTAGGAGTCTGACTTTAACAAGTCCTCCATGTTGTCAGATTTAAATCTTAAACTGGCACAAGGGAAGCTGTCCAGGTTGCTGAAGTAGGTAAAGGGATGCAAGCTACTACAAAACTACTCTGTCTCCAACTTTCCTGTTATCAATATCAACTCCTTGCAAAGGTCAGATCCACTGACATTTTGTTCAATTTCCATTGCCATTTCACAATGAGAAAAGCAAGGATGTGTTGGCAAGCCGAAGAGCACGCAGACCAAGGGACTTTGCTGGCAACATGGCATTATGGCCATTGACCTTATCACATTTAGTTTTGTTTCAGGTATTGTCATTTTTCTCATTGAAAAACCCAGAATAACAAAATGTAATAAAATTTCTTCCTCCTGTCATGAATTAGTGAAGGTCACCCCCTTGGACCACCCCATCAGAATAATAGCAAAGATGAAAAACACTCTTCTAAGGAATATACAGGGTTTGGGACCAACAAAACCATTTATAAAAGACAAAGCCAGATCTGCCAGTGAGTTCTCTGAAGCAAAAGACTCCAAGAAAATGCAACAGAGTTCTTGGTCCCATCTGTCCACATCAGCACTAGATGCTAAAAAACCACTCAATTAAATGTGGTTTTCTCTCTTCTTTACGAAGAAGCATCTTGAGTGATGCACAGAACCAGCCTTTGCCTATTGCAATGGTGTCCAAGTGTTTCCAAACACAGAGGCACTGCAAAATTGGCTGCTCAGATGCCAGGCTAATGGGCAACCTTATAAAAACCCCAGCGGATAACTAGATCTACACTAGGTGTGGCATGTTAAGGATGTATGGGGATATATCACTCACCACTGAATTGTAGCTTTCTTTGGTGCATGACAACACCGCACCAGGGGTAACTCCAGAAATGTTTCACATGGCACATCCCAGCACTGCCCCACTCCTGGCTGGCTCCCCAGTGCAGGCACTCACTTTAGCTCTCCGTACTTGCAGCAAAACTTCAGGCTGAGATCTGTGGGCACAACAAAGGGGATAGGGACCAATGCCAGTAGGGCAAGGTTAGACTGTCCCAGGGGAAGCCCTAATGCAGGAGCCAGTCCCACAAAAGCAGCTAGGAGGAACAGTACTGGTGACCATACCACTCCTGCAGATTTGGCCATACTGTTCACTATGATGACAACTGGTGGAGGGGCCAAAACAGAGTGAGTGGGACTGCAACCTAGTGCACGGGGGTTGCAATGTTGCTGTCCAGCGGGCACAAGATAAAACTTGTGTCTCCTCACTGCTATCATTGGTTGGGGCCAGCTCTGAAGGCTTGATGTCCCTGCTAGGGAAATGTGCAGTGAGTAACAAGTACAGCTGCAGGCATCCCTGCATTGCACAGCAGTTTAGGGAGGAAAGGAAGAGGGAGATCTTGCTCTGTGGAAAATCAAAGGGCAGAAAGCCACACTTAGAAATGGGCCAATATCCTTGCACTGAAGAAAGGTGTCACTGGCCTCTTCCTGAACAGAGGACTTTGTCTTCCTGGAACACAGCATCTCCCAAGCCCCATCCTTCTCCAGTCTATATGCCTATTTCAGCTGGGGTAAAGATCCAGTGCAAGGTTTCTTATTAAGGGATGAGAAATACAAGACTTGTGCCAGGCCACTGACACAGGCTAGCTAAGGAATTTCCTCAGTCAGGGAGATAAGTTGCAAGCAATCCTCCAACCAGACTATTTGCTGCTCTCTTGGCCAAGCATCCAGCAGAGCAAAGCTTCCGGGGCTCGGGTTGCCATGGGAGTAGAAAACGCAACCTACTAACAGCAGGGGGCCGCCTGAGGGCCGGATTCGAAGCGAGGACCCGCTAGTCCCGGAGGCTAAGAGAACGCTGGGATAATGTGTTGCGAACGTTGGAGTGCTGAAGGTTCGAAAGAATAGGGGGCGGGGATTGTTGAGCCACGGTGATGGAATCCGCGCTAGAAATTGACCGGGAGGGGGGGGGAGGAGAGGCCTGAATTCTAGCCCGAGTGTGTTTTATTTCTCACAACCAGGAGCTTCTCTCCTGCTCTGATTAGTTCCTGTTGTCACTGAAAGACAGACAAAGCTGCAAACCAAGAGCAGTACGTTTCCAGTGGAGGGGGGCGGGGGAGTAAGAGAGGAAAATCAAGGTGAGCAGAGAAAGGCTTTTTGGGCGTTTTGTCTGTTTTTGAGCTATTGCTGAGTTTGTTGAGAGGGTCTGTGTGTCTTGGCCAGCATGGCTCAGGCAGACAGTGGTTCTCTTTCTTTCATGCCAATGTTTCCTCAGAAAGAATAGATAAAAGTTGTACTGTACCTCCTTGTGACAGCGCTCTGAGATTTTATTACTGGAAGAGGTTTATGGGAGTCTAGCTGGGAATATTAAACACTGTGGCTGCTGTAATATTGCTTAATATTTTATACTTTCTCTAGCTTGTATTGACCTCCACATTTTCCCTTCCACAATCTGGATTAAAAACAAACAAAACCTTCTCAAAATACTGGCAGCAGGCCTGAAAACAAAGGTAACGGCTTCTCCAAGGGCAAGCCATTTTTCAGCAGACGTGTATAGAGGAGAACATAGGTGTTGGAACTAGGAGTGCTGGGGCTGTTACAGCATCTTCTTGCTCGAAATGGTTTCCTTTTTATATAGGATTTACAGTTTGGTTCAATGGCTTTCAGCTCCCCCACTATACAAATTGTTCCAGTGCTTCTGGAGGGGAAAGCTTGATGGAAAGAGATAAGGGGTGTGTGATATAGAACTTTAGCACCTTGCCTACACTTACCCTTCTACAGTTCAGACGGATACATTTCTGTTGCTGAAACTCTACTTATAATACAAGTTGAAACTCTCTTAACTGGGATTCTCTGGTCCATCAACATCCATGGTCCAGCTTGGATGTTGCAGGACCAGAGTCCCGGTGGAGGGCCAAAGGTAAGGATCCCTGTGGGGGTGGGCAGGACAGTGGGCTGCCTACAGGGAGCTGACAGTGGGGCTACCAAGCATGTGGCAACAGGGCTGCCCAGCAGGGTTGGGAGACCTGGCGTGTGGCTGCCTGGTGGGGCTGGGAGCCCTGGTGCATGCACCAGCCTGGAGCCCCAGAGCAGAGCTGCACAGCGGGTCCCGGAATAACAGCAGTGATGGCTGCCCAGTAGGGTTGGAAGGGCAGCAGGAGTTGGGGAGCCAGCTGGGAGGCCAGCAGTCGAGCCGGTTTGCTGGTGGCAGGAGTACAAAAATGACCTCCCCTGGTCCAGCAAAATCCTTCATCTGTGACCGATCAGGTCCAAATGGTGTTGGACCAGGGAAGTCCAACCTATAGCAATTTATGGAAGTGTTTCTTCTGTTATTTTTTCCCCCTGAGATCTACCCTTAGTACTAGAATTGTAGATGTTTATTTTGGGGACTATGAATAAGCAGGTGGCTCATTTATTCCAGTATAAATCTGGAATAACCACATTTATGTCTTTCAGTGTTAGTGCACATTTACCCAGTATGAATGACCCTGGAATCTGGAGTCTTAAATTTGGTTCTTATCCCTGATATATTTTAGCTTAGCTTCTAACTTCTGTTCCTGCATGTTATAAGGTACATGGTGAAGCTTATTTTTAGATATGTGTTTAGGACCATTAGGGCCCATATATAGACCCCCCCAGGGCTAATAGACAAATTTTATTTGCCATGTGTAAAGGTTGCAGAACTGGGACCTCTTAAAATACTTTCCCTCTGTAAAGCAAAGGGCCTCATGCACTGTTACATGGGCTTGATTCTCCTTTCATATGGGTGAATCAGGAATAATTCAGCTGAAGTTAATGGAGTTACACTGTCGTGAAATTCATGTAAGTGATTGGAGAATTGGGCCCTGTATATATAAATGGGTCAAAAAAAATTCTGTCTGAAGCCCACTGAAGTGTTGGCAATGAAAATCCAACTATTTTTTCTGACTCAAACTCGAAATATTATTAAAGCTGAATATAATAATTCTTCTGTGGTATCATCAGGACAATTATTTCTACTTTCAAAGCCGGAAGGATCCAGTATAACTAGAATGATATATTCTGGGAATTTTTTGCATTCGGACTAGCTAGTAACACTTTATCTCTGTTCTTTTATGACAAGAATCCATAAATATGCCCTGATAACTGCAATTTATGGACTGACCCATTATTTTTTATTATGTCATATAACTGCTTTCCTGTTGAATGATAAAGCTTTTTAGAGAGTATTTCAGAAATAGAAGTCCTTGTTAATAGAATATCCAGCCTGCCCTGGGATGCACTGGTGTAACTTGCCATTTAAATATCAACATGATAGGGGAGTAAAAAACATCAAAGATAGAAACGTATGGCCTTATTCTTCCCTCCTCTGGAGTTGGGATAGCCATTTATCCCTGTGCAATGTGAATGAAGAGAAGTAACTATTCTGATTTACTAGCATTTATGCCTATTTGGCACAGATGTCAAAGACTGCACGAGGTGCCAGGTGATAAAAGACTCCATCCCAGATATAGAAACTTCCATTGAGCTCAGTTTCTCTCTGAATAACATCGGTCTCATTTTTGGATAGAAGCCAGATTTTGATATCTTTACTGATGTTGAATGCACCTGATTCCATGCGTGGTGCGTCACTGGCTTCAATAAGAATAATCAGGTATTACAGGTTGAGTCAGGTACTACAGGTTGGACCTCGTTGCTCCAGCACCCTTGGGACCTGACTGGTCCCTAATGAGGGGACTTGCCGGATCAGGGTAGGTTTCTCCCCTCATGCTCATGCTGTCACCAGGCTAGGGCTTCAGCCTGTCCTCACTGCTACCTCAGCCACCTAGGGCTCTCGACAGCCCCGCTTTTGCACACCACAGCCAGAGCTCTGCATTCGGGACTGGAACTCTGGGTCCCGGGCCAGAGCTCCCTGGCTGCCACTGAGGCTGGAGTTCCCCGGCCGCTGGAGCCAAAACACAGCTGGAACTCTGCGGCTGGGGATGGGGCCAGAGCTCCCTGGCTTCTGCTGGGGCCAGAACTCCCCGCCATACTGCCTGTCCTCCACCCCCCCACACAGACACTCTGGGCTCCCTGCTGAGTCGCCAGTGCCCCTTAGGGTTCTCCTGCCCCGCTGCCAGACCTCCCTTTTTCTGAGCTCTGCGATCCAGGAACATCCGTGGTCCATGCCAGACCATGGATATTGCCGGATACGGAAGTCCCTGTTAAGGGAAGTACAGCCTGTAAGCAACATAAGTAACACTGTGAGAATGTGATCCAGGAGGGATCTAGACACTATGGGCTAGATGGGCTGCTAAGCAAGGCAATGGCAGAGCAGCTGGCTGGGCACACAGAGAGGAGAAACCTGCTGCACTAAAGAGAATGAAGCAGTTTTTTCACCAACCCAGAGCACAGAGCAAGGGTGGGGAACCTAAACCGCAGGGGATGGATACAGCCCCTGGCTTGCTTGAATCCAGCTCCTGAGGCTGGCACTCTAGTCACCCCCCTGCCATCCTCCCACGGGGCTGGAGCACACAAAATCTACTAAGCAGGGTCCCTCTAGACTCTAGTGTACAGGGGAAGGTGGGGAGTGTCTTTCTCCTCAGTCGGCCCCTGACTGATTTTTCTGTGGGTCCGTGGTTCCCACAGAAAAGTTCCCACCCCGGCATAGAGGAAAGAAGCAGAGGTGGTATTTGGCTGTGAGTCATAGTGTGCTCTACCGTCCTAAGAGCAGACAAGAGAACAACGTTGCCTCTTTCCTACAGCAGACAGTAACTTTGCTTATCTGAGCATCTGCAGGCATGGGGCTCCACAGCTCCCAGTGGCCACGGTTCACTGTTCCCAGCCAATGGGAGCTGCGAAAATGGCACAGCCCCAATCACTGCTTCCTGCAGCTGGCCAGGAATGACCAGCCGGGGCCACTCGGAGCCACGAGTGGCTGTGCCTACAGCCACGCAGGTAAAACAAAATTGGCAACCCACCAGCATCTATCCCTGATGGACCGTGTGCAGCCAGCATGCTGGAGATTCCCTCACCCCTGCTTTACACTGAGGTGCACTGTCATGAGAACTGATATTGACTCCGATAGAGCTGTTGGTGCTTGTCTGAGCAAGTGCTACTGAGCATCAGTGTGGATGATAGAATTGGATCCCTCTATAAGACTTGCATGTTATTTGCAATAGGTCACTATTGTACAAACACCTAATACAGTGCTGAATAGAACTGGTAGTTGTCATAACATCAGCTGTGGTAGGGAAAACTGCAGACCCTGGAAAGCAAATCAGACCAGAAATGTGATGGAGAACTGTGTGCCATCATTTTGTTTTAAGATGTGTTTATTATCTTAAAGCCTGCATACCTGACGCTCCATTCTGTTACTCCCCTTCTGCACTGCTGTACCTCATTTGATTTCAGTTGGAGTACAGAGAAAATAAATAGTTTAAAATGTATACAGCACTTTTACATGTTTTCTTTACAAAAGCGTTGTTGGTTACTTCTCCAAAGCTTCCTACCACCATGGGACATGTAGGGTACGTCTATATTGCAACACTATTTTGAAATAACTAGCGCTATTCCAAAATAACTTAGTCCGTGTCTACACAGAAGGCAGTTATTTCAATATAATGTCTAAAACCTGTCAAGCTGGAGGACTTCTGACTCCAACTCCTGTAACCCTCATTGTACAAGGAATAAGGGAAGTTGAAGAAAGAGTGCTGTATTTCAAAATAAGTGCTGTGTAGACGCTTGCTCTTTTGAAATAAGCTATTTCGAAATAAGATTTGCAAATGATGCAGCACTGCATTTTATTCCTAGTGGACAGAGAGGCTCAATTAAGGATGGGTCCTGAAAGGGAGTGGAATAACAAACTGGGGCTTAAACAACCAGGAGTCCTGTGACACCTTAAAGACTAAGTATGTCTACACTTGCACCCTCTTTCGAGAGAGGGATGCAAATGAAGAACACTCTTCTTCTGAAATAACCCTTATTCCTCATAAAATGAGGTTCAACAGTTATTTCAGAAAAAGGGTGTTCTCCTGAAATAACCTCATCTACACCGCATTTTGTATTTCGAAATAGCACTATTTTGAAATAGCGCCAAAATGCGATTATACAAATGAAGTGCAGGATATTTAAATCCCGGCTTCATTTTCAATTTCGAATATCTTCATTTGTATCCCTC